ACATTTATGTATTTGATGGAATATTTTTAAATACTTTATTAATTACATTATTAATTCATTTATTTCATTGTTTATTTTTTGTGTTTTGAATGAAACGGCTCTCCATACAACATTATCTAACAGACAACTGAAATGTGCTGCATCGTTTAAACCCTGCTTTGTGAGATGGTTTTCCAACACTGACGTGCTGTTTGAGGAATGGAAACTCACTGATTCAGGGTTAAGGCACTGCAGTAGTTTTCCACTACAGACTTTTGAGTGTTTGTTCAGCAGTTGTCATTTTGTTCATTTAAAATCAAACCTTCTTGTTTTAAACATAAAATTAACCTAGTAAGAACATGTTATCATAGCAGGGACTTGGCACTCATTTTTAATTTGGTGCTGTTGACGTGTTAAAGTCAGGCCCAGACGGACTCATGGTTTAGTATTTGCAGGCAGTGAGAGACTAAGCTATAATCTTGAATCATAAAAAAGTAAAATCAGCTTGATTAGCAGGAGGACRTGTTTGAAACAACGTAACATTTTCTGTCTTAAATTAATCACGTTAAAATGTTGGCTGACATATTTTTGCCCCACCTGGTCTTTTAGCTCATCAAACCTGTGGAACCAGTTGAGGAAACTCCTAAGTGGTTGTTTTCTATGGAATTAATTTCGAGATTTAAAACATTTTATGCACTAAATCATTAGTTCTGGACCTACTATAGACAAATACAAGCTTATATTGTTAAAAAAAACACAACTGTCTGGACTTTTATTACACTTGATCAGTTAAAACACATAACAGCTGATACATAAAATGTTTCATCAACAAGTTCACATTTAAGAGAAATCTGAACACTGGTGTAAAAACCTTAGCATCAAAGTGGTTTAGAAAGACAGAGTCTCCTGTTTGATCATTATAAGTGGATTTACTGTAATACTTTTCAAATCATAACCCTACATTATTGTTTAATGTTGAGCTGAAGTGTTCAGTCAGGTGAGTCACCTGCCCACATTAAGCCCTTCAGAAAGGATGAGGAGTCAGGATCAGGGGCGTTTTCATGGAAGGCCACAGAACCTCTCACTGATCTCCCACAGCTTCTTAGCTGCAGCATCATCCTTGGCTTTAGCGTAGAGTTCTCTCACAGTGCAGTTGGAGAAGTACCGCCCGCTGAGATGTTCGATGCCCTCCTGCAGAGCACAGTGCAGGGTGGTCTGACAGCCCTGGATGGTGTTCTTGAAGAAGAATGTGGTGACAGGCTTCAGGACGACATGTAAGACTGAGCTTGTGTTCCTGCCCAGATCAGAGCTGATTGCTCCTGTAAGAACATAACGTACATTCAGTTAACTTGTCTTTAGCTCATTTTTTTACCACAGGCTGAGTGTTTCTCATATCTGATTCTTAAACAARGCAAAGGCTGCAGACGTGTCTGTCTACATGTTTAAATGTACTGTTTAAAGCAGGGGTGGGTAATCATGTTCCTCGAGGGCCGCAGTCCTACATGTTTTACATGTTTCCCTGCTCCAACACACCTGATTCAGTCACTGAACTACCTCTTCATGTTCTGCAGTATGGAGGACTGACACTGACATAATTAGAAATAAAAGCAGAAATAGATAAATAAACTTTAAATAAATAAATACATTTGAAATGCACCAAATAAATTCAAAAAGAAAACTTTACATCATGTTTTATCATTTAATTAACCTTCCTTCATGTTTATTTTTCCAGCTTAGTTCCAATAAATTATATATTTAAACACACAATTTCAACTTTAATGTTTTTTAATATATATTTTACATAGTTTTTCCTTATACTTGTACATGCACGTGTCTCCTGAATACTTAAATTGAATTATTTTTATAATTTTGTCCAACAAGTCTTTTTATTTATGTGTTGCATGCTTGTGACGCCGCAGTTTAGCTTAAAGTTTAGTTAAAAATAAACGCACACGTAATGTTTTCCTCCTTGCCTTTGTTTTAAACTAAACTTCAAACTTTTAGCTAAACTGAGGCAGCACAAGCATGCAACACATAGAAATAAAAAGGACCTGTTGGAACAAAATATAAAAATAATTAAGTATAAACATTTAAGACACACAAATGCATGTACAAGAAAAAGGAAAAAGTTAGTAGGGCAAAGGTCAAAGGTCACAGCTTGCTTGGATGGGCTGCAGGAGAAAACCCTCTCTAAAACAGCACGACAGCAGTGTTGTTTTTGTTAACGATGACGAAATACTTTCTTTGACGCCCCCTTTTTTCATGATGATAACGAGACGGTAATGAAATAAACATAGCACTTTGATGACTAGAACGTGACGAAACGAAACGTGTGTGAGTTTTCGTTGACGAGACGAGACTGTACGAAAATGTTAGTCGGTGGTCTGTCAATCGTTTAGAATGCAGAGT